GGTCAATTTTAGGATTCTGGCAAGGCAGCGCCGCCATGATCCAGTGCTGGCTTCGCCGACCATGGTGGTGATTCCCATCGACCTGGCCAATTTTGACTGCTTTTACATTTATCCATGCAAAATAATATGTTAGGGAGCCTCAATTAGCCAGAAAATGGCAAAAAATTGAACATATCAGCGGGGATCTTCGGGTGCAGTAGCTTCGCTGGTTCTCCTTCGTGGATGGGTTTCTTCTTTGGCTAACCTACATAGAAAATGACGGTGAACACAATTGTCAAAACATTGTGTGAAACGAAAACGGAAAGGGGCTCATTGGAGGGGTTTTATGGTTTCAGTAGTGGCAGCTCTGCTGAACTTTGGCCCATGATTTTCGGCTCACACACCATCCTTTTTGCTCCGATATGGCTATAGGGAGACTCAAAATCGAATTCTGAGTAGGTAGAAATTTTTTTTTACCTTTTTTGGCGGACAACGATGGCTCCAGTGCAGCAAAGGCCGGGGGTCCGTCTCCTTCTCTGACAGCTGGTCCTTCTTCTCTGACGAGGGCAAATGTGGCTAAGGTTAGAGTTTTCCTACGATGCGATATTTATATACTTATCCCGCGTCGATTTGGGTCAACCATTCACATCAACATAGAGCAAGGAGAGTTGTCCGATCGTTGTCTGTTTAGACCGATTGCGTGGGCGAATATGCACTGTTCACGTGATTGATCTTGTCCGTCCGGTCATACCTAAGGAAGGAATGCATTTGAGCCGTTCACGAGCATGAAATTAAATATGGACCATCGAATCGTTCGGCACGTGGATCGCCTGCGTGTCCTCCCGCGTCGCGTCGATGTCAGTGTGTTTTGCCACGCAACATAATCTAGTTCGTCGTGGTTGCTGACTGGGTTGTCCCACGTAGCCGAATTTTTTCTTTTTGTATTTTGATCCCATGTTTTTAATTTTTCTTTCAAAAACACCTCATGAACTCAAAATTTCACCCATATTCCCTAAAATTGTTTTTAATTTCATTAATAACTTATTTTTCTCAAAAAATTTAATAAAACTAAATTAAATATATATTTTTTATTATTTTTATAAATAAAAAAATTGATTTCGGACCAAATTTTGGATCCCGATATTACAAAAGAGGTGAACTACACTAATTATATAAGAATATCAATACCTTACCACTGATACAAAAAATCAAAAGGTTGTAAAAAATATAAAATATCAAATGAAGCTCATTCTTAATAAAACCTGAATGCCATTACATTCATTATTCGTTTAACTAAAAATGTTAGTATTTTCTCAACTAACCTATAACTTCTCGAATACTATTCATTAAAATAAAATCAGAATCACAATCTAACAGTATACTGAAGTAGACATATAACATTTGGCTCCTCACATTTTTCAAGTCGGATTTTTTTACCGTGTTCACCTTTTTACCATCATTTTACCTTTCCCTACCTGTGTCGCTGGGTGTCCATAGGGATCTCCACTATACATGGATATGAACATTTCATTTGTAATTAAACGACCGTTCCGTTGCCACATCTGATAACAAGCGGCACAACAAACAACTACTTCAATATCTCGTCTGGTATGAGCGATACTTATAAACTCCCAACCCTTTTCGGTATGGGACTTTTTAACCCCATACGGTTGAGGGTAACGTTCATAGTAGGGTTCGCCTTATGCACCAAGTTTGTACACTCTTACCTATGACACCCGATAAACCCTTTTCATTCAATCACATTAGTTCATACATATTATTTCTTTCATTTATTATTTAACCCCAAATGACACATATACCCATATCCCCAGTAAAACAAGAGTACGAAATTTATATTTCAAAATATGTGAATGAAATAAATATACATTATGCTGACTGAAATGTATTATGCACAAAATAGAACAACGAGAAATATAAATTAAGACAAATAAATTAAAGTAGGTTAAAATAAAACAAAGTAAATAAATAAGTACAATAAAGTAACCAAATAAATAGTTAGCACAATTAAGCAAGTATAAACTGACCGATTACTTGCTTCATCAAAAACATGTACTTAATTAATCAAGAAACTGTCAGTTATCCAAAATTTTTGTTTATTATTAATTTAGTTTTAATTTCACTGTAATAGAAAAAATGGATGGGAGATTCTTACACTGGGTCAATGTTCAAAACATCGCTTTTTCACTACGATTCTCGACGATTTTTGGATCTCGAATTTTCTTGGATTTTTCTGATAAGATTAAAACATACGTTAAAATGATGTGAAATTACGTAAGAAACGGTAAAAAATGGCAAAAATCTCACCGGAGGTCGGGTTGGGGTTCCAGCGCAGTGGCGCTGCCGTGCTCTGCCACCTGGTCCTCTTCTCCAGTGGCTCATCCTTTCGGTCAAACTGGTTTTGGCCGGTCCTTGGTGAAAATTTATTTAAATCGTGGTTAGAAGGTGTTTTGCGGCGAAAGAAAGGGAAAAACAAAGGCTTACTGACGGTTTTGGTCATCCGGTACTGCGATTCAACCGAGCTCTGTCGTTCCTTCCTCGCAGTGTGCGGCTTCTCTCGGTTACCCTGCATCGAAAACACGTTAGATGACTAAGGGCAGAGAAACAGGAAGAACGAGAAGAATTTCTAGCTTACCAGAGTGTTTTCGGCGTTCTGGCATGGTGGCGCCGACATTCCTTCTCCGACTGGGTCTCCTTCCGACCACCCTTCTTCTTCTTCTGTGACAAGGCATGTCGGCTAAGGTTTGGGGTTTGACTGAATGAGATTCTTAAATATTCTCATCCCTTTGATCTGGATTGTCCATCTAGGCCTACGTGGATCAACCTCAGTCGCCCGACCTTGTTTATTTGGAAAACAAATCTAGACCGTTCGGTTGAAGACACGTGAACCGTTTGATCAGAGTTATCCAAAAAATTGATCTCGGTCGTTCGTGCATGTAGGAGTGGCCCTGAGTCGTTCGATTGGCCTGACATGCGAATTGTCTGCATGGCTTCCTGCATGGAACCTGTGTCGACATGTCTACCATGCAGCGTGCAGCAATTCATCGTGCTGCTGACTGGGCGTACACATGACCCATATTTTTTTTTTTACTATTTGACTCCTTTTTCTAAATATTTTTTTAAAACATATTCTCGTTTATTTATAATTTGATCTTATCTTTTAAAAATTATTTAAAAAAAGTTTAAAATTGACATTTAAAAAAAATAAACATAATTAAAATAATATTAAAATTCACGTTTCTGAGCCTAATTCTTAGATTCGGAGTGTTACATATTTTGACATAATTTTAATTAAATTAATAAAAATAAACATATAAGAACAAACTTATACTTATCTTTTTGCTGAGCACTAAGCAATAACGATGAATGAAACAAAATTGAAGAAAAAATAAAAAATAAAAAAAATGTTGATTTTAAATCATTGTTGGAGACAAGTCATGGGTGAAATGAGGTGTAGGTGAAAATTCCTTTAATACACTGAATTCACGTGAGATTCAGACGTATCTCCGTACTATTTCCACTTGCCCAGAAAAAATAATTTGATTAATTCAATAATTATACGTGAAATTTATGGTGAATTTTTAATTATTAAGAATTAAAACAACGGTCTCTCTATTTTTATTTACTAATAATTATTAAAATTAAAAGGGCAGTATCTTATCTAATGACTTTAAAATATAGTTATTGAAATCAGACTTAATTTGATAGTTTTGACTTTTTAAATTTTTTATCTATATTTTGAGCTAACAATTTAATTGATAAGTTATTAATTAAATTAATAAATTAAATAATCAACGTGCAAACCAGTTCAACATATAACTCATTAAAATATAAAAATTATGATTTTTTTTTTTTTAATTTAAAAAAAAACCTTCAGTGGTATATGTCATTGGATCCTTCATTTTTAATTCTCTACCCACTAAATTAAACTACTGTTTTCCAACTGCATAATTTTTATTTTACTTTTTCAGATTATTGTTTGTTGCATGTGTTTGTTTTCTCCATAATATATATATGTGTGTGTATATTATTCTGGTTATTGCTTGTTCAAACCATTTATTTAAATTATCTGATTGCATCAGGTGACTTTTACGGCCAATACAGATTTTTAATTTAATTGAAAACTAAACATGAATTGGTCAACTTAGGAAAAACATATCAATTTATTCTTAAACATAATCTAAAATCTAATATTTCTACGATCGTTGGGACTAGTCCGTAAAAATACGTTGGGCCACCAATGTCCCCATATTTGGGTCCAAAAAATAATCTAATTATCTTATAATATAGTAATAATAATTCCTGGGCTTGGGCTCAAAACAATCCATTCTTTGTATTAGCAGTTCTCTTTTTTCCTTTCAATTAATTTCTAAAAATCGATTAAAAAATATTGGGTTTAAATTTGATTCGTACGTAAATTCAAAATAATTAAAATAAAATAGTTTAATCCAATAATAAGAGTTTTTTTTTAAAAAAAAAAATATAAGGAGGAATTTTTATGTATTTATGTAAATATTACTTTTTCACAATATTTATAATATAAAACTCAGAGCTACCGCATGAAGAAGACATTATTAAGTAAGATACTATTGTTTGTCCGCCGTTGGTTGACCAAGTTTCTTTCTTCTTGCTCAGCTACTCAACAACATTGCACAATTTAAACAAAAAAAAAAAAAAAAAGAAAACCTAAAAAATTCAAAAATTATTTCATACTTTATTATTATATTTTTAATAATATTATTATTTCAGAAAAATAAAGGATATTCATTTAGATTTGTACACAAAATTATCATTTAATATATGTACCAAAAAATTAATGATACTCTCACCAATATACTACACCAGCTTACAATAAATTTTTATTTAATTTAAAATATAACTAAAAATAAAAAATCTAAAATGATAAAAGTAATTTTTCTGGTCTTAAAAAAATTTATTACTTTCTTGTTTCTGATAATAAACAGAGAGAGAGAGAGAGAGAGAGAGAGAGGCATCATTAAAAACAAGTGGAAAAGAATAGGCAAAGGGCGCATTGAGGTGCGTGATTGCTACTAAATTCGTCATCTTCTTCCTTCTTTCTTTCTAACACGCACCAGATCAAAATCATCAGCCAATAGAAAACAACAGCAAAAAAAAAAACGAAAAAGAAATAAACATATTCCAGTTAACCCACCGCCACTAGACAAGAGAGAACCAGAAACAGAGCGCTCAGAGATTAAGTCATTTGCAACGGAGTAAAGGAGGCGGAGAATATGAGCAGTCAGGGTAAACTTGTCTCCTCAAGTTCTGAATTGGATTTGGATCGTCCCAACATCGAAGACTACCTCCCTTCCGGATCCTCCATCCAAGAGCCTCATGGCAAGCTTCGCCTGTAATCTTCACAACCTCTCTCTCTAGACATAGCTGTATCTATATATATGTATATGCATGCATGCTTCGATATGTATATGTCATTTTGCATTTGGATTTCGTTTGCGCGATAACTAGTTAGAGATGAAAAACTGTCCTCTGGCGAGATTCCGATTTGCGCCTTCTTTTTTCTTTGGTTTTTCTCGATAAGCTAAAATGACTTCAGGCGATTGATTGATTGATTTTGACTGGTGATGCTTGGCGAACTCTTTTTTAGGCGTGATTTGCTTGACATTTCGCCTACTCTGACTGAAGCTGCCGGTGCCATTGTCGATGTAAGCTCTCTCGCGATTCTTAGTAATTTTTGTAGTCATGTTTGTTTTATGGAGAAATGATTCCGGAAAAATTTTCGGTCCAGGAGGGAGGGGAATAATTAGATTGTGAGCTGTGTGAGTGCTTTTACTTCTTTTATTGGAAGGTGATTCCTTAAACATGATTTCTCTATCTTCGGGTTAATATTTCAAAAAGAATAGATATCTTCTGGTTAAGAGTGAATTTCATGCCATCAATTTGAGAAAAGTAGAGACTGAAATCAATTTTCTGTTTACATGTAAAAATCTTTATTTATAGAAACTTCTGATTTTACCTGAAATTGCCAGGACTCCTTCACGCGATGTTTTAAGTCAATTCCTCCAGAACCTTGGAACTGGAACATATATTTGTTTCCTCTATGGTGTTTTGGCGTGCTCATTCGACATTTTATTCTTTTTCCTGTGAGGTAAGCTTTTTTTATCTGCTCAGATAGAGGGAGAGTGTTGAATCATGCTATATGCAGTCTTTCTTCTTTAATCTCACTGCAGAATTTATTTCCCCCACTAAATGATCTCTATCTCGAGCTTGAATTGTATATCTTGGTATTATTTTTAATGAATCATCTGATTCTTTTGTAGCCAACTGGCTTTGTTAAGTAGCGCATGTTATGTTGTATCCGCAACTAATTACTGGATATCCATAAAATCTGCAGGTGTCTAGTGTTGGCAGTAGGATGGTTTATATTTCTCTCATCATTCATTCCAGTGCACTATCTGCTGAGAAGCCATGATAAGTTGAGAAAAAAGATAGAGGTCTGAGCTTTATCTTATGCAGAGTTCCCTGGATTCATACCATTAGAATACTGTTATTCTCTTTCTTCTTGAATCTTCATTATATGTGGTATTGTTCGTACTAAATAAACTATGCCATTGAGTTCCCTGCCATTTTTATGCTTGGGGCTGGGACCATTTCCATAAATTTTTTAGCCATAATCTTCTTAATACATCTGGTTATGCAACTTTCAACATGTAATCTTTCTATACTAAGAAACTAAGTAAGTGTCTAGATACCCACAGAGATGAGGGAATATAGAAAAAAGAGAGTAACTTGAAGTTTGCTTTATGGAACCCTAGGTATCTTTACTCTACCTTTTAGTGTAAGAAGCAGGATGCTATAAACCAACTCCTCTAGGACATTTCAATTTTTCATGTTTGTCTATGATTAGAGGAGGAGACCAGCAGATTATGCTCTACATGCTTTATCAACCCTCTGGACTGTAAGAAAAGCATGGCAGGAAGGATGCGCTTTGTCCATGATTAGAGTTATTACTATTGCCCAGACTAATTCCATTTAATCTTACTATATTTTCTATATCTCAAAAAACAAAAATCTTACTATATTTTTTGTCAAATTATTTTTTCAGATAATTTTTTGCGTTATTTGATATCTGGTGTTCCCTTTTTTGAAATGCAATCAACACATTTCAGATCCAAATTTGACCCAATACTTTGTCTTCCTATGTCTTGTTCTCTCTATCTGAGAATTGGATTTTATTTCCTTTTCACTTTCAAACTCAAGATTGCTTATTTTCTCTTCAGAGGTGCTTGGTAGAGATGATGTGCAGTTTCTTTGTTGCATCATGGACTGGTGTTGTCAAATACCATGGTCCTAGGCCTAGCATCCGGCCTAAGCAGGTTATGCTCTTTAAAATGTGTCCTGCAGATACCTTAACTAGCCCCCAGGTGTTTTTTTTAAAAACAATTTGTTGACAACCAAAATCTCTTTTGAGTATTAACCAAAATCTCTTTTTGTTTTGTGTTGAACAGGTGTTTGTGGCCAACCATACCTCAATGATAGATTTTATCGTCTTAGAACAGATGACTGCATTTGCTGTTATCATGCAGAAGCATCCTGGATGGGTTGGTAAGTATTAACGTCACGTGCTTGTAGGACACATGCTAAGAATTTAATGTTGCAGTATGCACGTTAAGAGTCTCCAATGCCTCTTGAGTTGGGAAAATGTAGCTTATGTGTTTTCAATAGATGAAGTTCCATATATATTTTTTCTCCTCTTTTCAATTCCCACATCATCTGCCTTTGTTTTGACTCCTTTTTTTTTCGGATTTTTTAGAAATTCAATATTGATATGTACAATTCTAGATGGACATTAATCATTTTTACTTTCATTGTTAGGAAATGTATGTTCTTGTTGGAGTATTCATATCTGGAGGTGGAAAAGTGGTTTCAGCAAATTATCACTCGTTTTGCAGTCTTCCTCGGTTTCAACTTATTATTGAGATATTTTTTGTTTGCATTGGAAGCGAAGTCATTTATTGGAAATATCTAATTTTAGAAGCCTGGATTTTATGCTTTCCTTTTTTCTGATTTTGTTGCTTTCTGCTAATGCAGAGCTGACTGATCATGAGCATAAAATGTGAATTTGAATATACTGAATGTTCTATTTGATTTGTTTTGGTTTTATGTTTAGGACTACTGCAAAGCACTATACTAGAGAGTGTAGGGTGTATCTGGTTCAACCGTTCAGAGGCAAAGGATCGTGAAATTGTAGCCAAGAAGTAAGTAAAATTGTCACGGGCAAGAACATTTGCATCCTGTTATTTCCAATGGTTATGATAATTTGATTTAAATCTTTCAGGTTAAGGGATCATGTTCAGGGTGCTGACAACAACCCTCTTCTTATATTTCCTGAAGGGACTTGTGTGAACAACCACTACACTGTTATGTTTAAGAAGGTACAAGAGCAAATATTTGGTGGATTATTGAAGTTTTCTTTAAACTTTAATTTTTTTATCTCCTTGATGGTTCAGGGCGCTTTTGAACTTGGCTGCACTGTTTGCCCAATTGCAATCAAGTACAACAAAATTTTTGTTGATGCCTTTTGGAATAGCCGGAAGTAAGTATAACTCTTGAAAAATTTTAATTTCTGCAGATAACTATAACAGCATGGAATTTTGGCTTGTAGAATCAAGTAGAGTTTATTTTACTTCCTGTTAAGATGCTTTCCTGTTTGTGAAGACTATGATTATGCTGCTTAGCAGGCATAGTTTTTTTTTTTTTCTTTTAAATATTTGAATCACACATGATGTTTCACTATGTTGTTTAGCTCGTATTTCATTTGTAGATTCACATCATGATGTTTCCCACATTTTCTCTGCAGGCAGTCCTTCACAATGCATCTGCTGCAGCTAATGACATCCTGGGCTGTCGTATGTGATGTGTGGTACTTGGAGCCCCAAAATCTGAAGCCTGGTGAGACAGCCATTGAGTTTGCAGAGAGGTAAAAATTCTTACTGATTTGCAATGAAACTGAGCATATTCATTGATAGAGAAAATTTTGTCTCCATTAGCTTGTTTCGGATCTTGGAGTTTGAGACCTTTTATGCAGGGTAAGGGACATAATATCTGTTCGAGCAGGTCTGAAAAAGGTTCCGTGGGATGGATATCTGAAGTATTCACGTCCGAGTCCAAAACATAGAGAACGCAAGTAAGCGAATCATTTCCCAGATTCTTTCCATCTTTTCTAAGCTTGAAGCTATTTTACATCTATCAATTGATACTTGGTTTGATCATTTATATGTAGCTACAAGTTCTTACGCATCTGCTTCTTGTTTATCTATATTATCCCTGAGGACATTAAGGGAACATTAATATGGTGTTTATCTCAACTTTTGGTCAAATGAGCTCTTGAAAGATGGTAGAGGGTAGCTCTTATTTTGGAGAGCTTGTAAGTTGTCTAAAGTAAGTTGGTGTGGACTACAAAATGTCTTAAGTAGTTCTAAACCAATTTCTTAGAAACTCATGTTATACAAACATTTTAGAAGCTTATTTATGAAATAAATTCATACAGCAATATTCTATTGAAGAATTTTGAGCTCCTTGTGTGTTTTAGATTGGGCCAAACATCATCCAAATATAAAAACACCTTTGAATAATATGGTTTTTCTCCCACCAGTTTTATGGGCATTCTTAGCAGTCATAGGGATTGGTTGCTGGGTTCTTTAGGTAACCTGTGATATCTCATGTTGTTGATAGCTTGTACACTTGCCACCTATGACCATTTAACATCTAATATTTACATATATTCAAAGAACAATAAGGTACCATGAACATGGAGTACTGCATTTGACTGAAGAAAATTGTCAACAATGATTGTATTGATCTTGTGGAAAGGCTTTAAATTATTTTTATTGTCTTCCGCTATTTCCTTTTGGATGTGAAAAACAAAAACTTACCTCAGTAACCTTGTTTCGTGGTATTGGGTTTTGTCCATAACTGGGGCATTTGCTAATATAATCAGCTTGATTAATAAATATACCTGATGGCATTTGAAGCACCCTTACAGCTTGAAGCTCACTGCTGATTTTGCATGTACAGGCAACAAAACTTTGCTGAGTCTATCCTGCGCCGCCTGGAGGAGAAGTGACTGTACATTGGTTTTCCATTTCTTTAGTAGTATTGATCCAAACTACTGAGGCATGTTACCATGCCTAATTCTATCTTACATTTAAATGCAGACTTGACCATGAATAACACTTGAAGGAGATGGGTTTGAGGATTGAAAGGTTCACACCAAATAGAAACTTGCTCGGAATAGTTCTCCGGTACTATCCTGACCTCTCAACTAGAGTGAAGTTGCTCAGGAAGGGCAAACTCTAAGTTGTTAGTAGTGTGTTGTTGAATATATGTGCATGAAAAATTTTGGGAACACTGTCAAATTTAAATATTCTTCCTGGTGAAACATCCACCTCTATTTAATTAATTTCCAAAAAAATAGGATGAAATATTGTTGATGTATATTATTATTGGGGAAAGAAGGAAAAAAAGAGAAAGAGAAAAGACAGTCATGGGGTGCATGCAACATTCAAGAGTCAGCTGAACGGGTTTTCTCATAAAAATGTTGCTTTGGCATGCTTGGGTCTATCAGGGTGTTCGCACTCTTGTTTTTATCCACTACTCTTGTAGGATTCTTCTAAAATCCTTATCAAATTTAAACAAGAAGGGAGTAAGCTGTGGCCGCCGCTGAGCAATTACCAACTAAACGTTCAGGAAGGAGGCTTGAGAAACGTTGGATTGCAGCGCAGGTACAGCACGAAGTTAGCAAAGAACACAAGCCCAGTTCATGCTTGAAAATACAAAATATAAATTTACCATATTTCTGTATTATAATTTGGTATGAATTAGTGCCAATGTAAGCGGGCAACATAATTTTTCGTAGCTACGTTTAGAAAAGAAAATTGTGGAATCTATTAGAAATTTACAATTGGTTTAGAAAGGAAATAATGGACGTTTAGACGAGAACAACAAACATTGATACCGGCATGAATTTCGCTTATAATTTTAAATTCTATATTTACTGGTAGAATTTTAATAATTTCCTACTAAGTTAGTGCCATTTTTAAAATGTCATATCTTTAGCAAATTAGTGATGAATGGAATACAAATTTGACTTAGTTCGCAATTGCCTTAACGAAAATAGATGTTCATAGCTCGTAATTGTCATTTGATGACATTATAATTTTAGGATCGGTACAAACGAAATGGTACGATTTTCCTTTTGGGCAGATAAGATAAATGATGTGTGAATAATTTATTTGATAAATAATACTCAAGTATACATGATGTCGTTGTCTTCTAATATTCTGAAGTAATTTATTACAAAATTAAATGTTTATGTAGCCTTCCAATTCAATAAAATGCGTATACGCAATTATGGTATGGTATTACACTTTTTTATCAATAACTTTAGTAGAAACGTAAGTTGACTAATAAAATTAAGGGCAAATTACTATAATAGTTTATAAATTTTTCTTTATGTTATAATTAGATTAGACAATTTTGTTTTTATAAAATTATTTCACTTCATGATTCACTTATACAATTAGAGAAACTTCTAATCAAGGCAACGGATTTTTCTTTTGTTTTGACTACATATTATTCTTTATAGGATTTAATAGTTACGATAAATTAAAGATTGAAATTAATAAACAAAATAAAAATAATTAATTTACTTTATTTAAACTACTATATTCATGATATTTACAGATATTAGGAAACAAAAAGAGATATAATATAAGTTTTTTTAAATTATTAATTTTCTTTCTCTATTCGTAGCTGTAAACAAAAACATTATATTTTCAGTATAAATCCAAAAACAATTTTTATTGTTTCTCAAAGAAAAATATATCTAAAATAATTTTACAAGCTCGCGCACCAAATTATGATGAAAATTTGAAGTAAATAACAACATAGTTTATAATTTATTAATTAAATTGATTACTTATCTTAAAACTAATGAAGGGTAATTTTTATTAGTTTCCAGATAAATTATACCGTTGAACAGCTACAATTATTAATTTATTTTACACCCGTTACTTTCCTAAATGCTGTATAGACGTGCCAACCGACCCCACACATTTACTTTACTCGTAATGAAAGCATTGACTCGCAATGACCGAGCTTTTTTTTTTTTTTTTAATAGAATATAGAATACATATTTTAGTACATAAAACTCCAGTAAAGAGTCCTTCTAAAGACATTCAGAGAGCCCGCTGCAGACGGTTCATAATAAAAAATCAAGTTGGCCCAGAAAGTCCGCACAACGATAATTCTATACGCAGCTCCCCCCTACATTTCCACATTTGACTTATGAACCGTGAGAACAATTTGAAGAAAAAGTATTTTCCTTTTTTTTGGCGCATTTATTGGAATTTTAAATTTTCCAGTCCATATTTTATATTGATTATTGTAAAGAAAAATAAGTGTTTTGAATCCCCCCACCAATAAGAATAAAAATATTTCATCATTAAACATGTGAAACAAGAAGACCAACCCACATTCTTCTTTAGTTGGATCGAGTGGCAATTACCACTTATATAATCATCACATCACTTCTACTCATTTCCGGATCACTAAATTATGATTAAATTTTTTATTTCAATAACTAATTAATAACTAGATAATAATTTAGTGTTAATTTCTAAAATACAAAAAACCTCATAAATTCGTCATCAAATTACGAGAGCACCCACCACATGGACGAAAACTAAAACACCCGTCCTGTCCTTATCTTCTCCAATAACAAAATTTGCAGACTCCGACCCCTTTAAGAAACCCACTTTCTACCCTTCAACAAATATACAGTAATGGCTTTTTCCTCCTCTTCTTCCTCTCACTGCTTTCTCTTACTCCCTCTTCTTCTCTTCTCCGTTTTAATCGCTCACTCAGCCGCTCAAGGCGGCAGATTCACTTGCAATTCCTCCTCAAAGTGTCAATCCCTCGTTGGCTATCTCACCCCCAACGCCACCACCTTGTCCGAACTCCAATCTCTCTTCACCGTCAAAAAGCTCCGCTCCATTCTCGGCGCTAACAACCTACCTCTCTCAACCCCACGCTCCTTCTCCATTCCCGCAAACCAGACTATCAAAATCCCTATCCCTTGCGTTTGCTCAAACGGCACCGGCATCTCCGACAGAGTCCCTATCTACAAAGTCAAGAAAGACGACGGCCTCTTTCATATCGCCGCCGACGTTTTCGGCGGTCTGGTTCAGTTCCAGCATATTGTGGAGATCAACAATATTCCTAACCCGGACTTGATTGAGGTTAACCAGTCGCTGTGGATCCCGCTGCCTTGCAGCTGCGATGAGGTGAACGGAGAACGAGTCGTACACTACGCTCACGTGGTGTTAGAAGGGAGCTCCGTCGAGGAAATTTCCAGCGAGTTTGGGGTGGATAAGGAGACTTTGTTGAAGCTCAATGGGATTTCCGGTGACAATCAACTTATCGCTGCTAAAGCTTTTGATGTTCCTCTCAGAGGTTAGTTCATTTTTTCTTCTTCCTTTCACTTTTTCACTGCTTCTTTCTGTTTCTGGTTATTTGGTTTGACTTTTTGACTAATAAAAATGTGGACTTTTTCTTTAATAAACATCTGAGTAAATTTATTATTATTATACAAGACACAAATTACCAATTATATATATATATATATATATTTTTATGTATAAAATTATTATTGCAATTTAAACGATTAAATCATTGTTAAACATATAAAAATGTCCAATTATTTTATTTAGAATATATTAATGACAATAATAATTTTTAATCACATAATTTTTTACAATATAATTAAAACCAATTTGTATTATTTCTTCATCGTCTGTTTGCTTCTCAAGCCATTATAGATACTCGAAGGTATTTGATGTTTGAAAATTGGCAGCTTGCAACTCATCCATAAGAAATGACTCGTTGGATTTCCCTCTACTCGTTTCTAACAACACTTCTGTGTTTACCGCCAATAATTGTGTAAAGTGTTCGTGTTCTTCGGCAAATAACTGGATGTAAGTATTCTTCCCCTCCATATTCTTACAGTTTATTACTACTTTCTTTGGGAACAAGCTGATTTTTATCTTCTTGTTGTTATCTTTGGATTTTCTGACCAGATTGCAATGTGAACCCACTGCAATTCCGCCATCGTCCAACTCGGGAACGTGCCCTTCTATGCTTTGTGCAGGATCAAACAATTTATCCCTCGGCAACACTTCTACGACCTCTTGCAATCGGACAACCTGCAGTTACGCTGGTTTCTCGAGGCAAACTATTCACACCACACTTCTCAGTGAATCCACTTGTGCAAGTAAGTCCAGAAAATTAGATATTGGTCTGAATTTTGAACCGACCGATGAATCTTTAAATAAGTAAAAAGATACACATAATTCCTTATGAATTAGGTTAAATGATGTTTCAGAAAGTGCATGTGAAAATACTGGTTTTTGGTGTGTTCAAGAGGTACATAAACTAAGTTTTATTGATTTTATTTTGTTCAACAGCTCCTCTTCCTCCTCCAAATCATGCTCCAACAAGTCGGTTGAGTTGGAATTTGGTGTTGATATCTGTTCACTTGCTGCTGCTTTCTTTACATTTTCTTCTCTAAGTGTGTGCTAGTTTCTCCACATTTTGTGTAGTCTGGATTTTTTTATAATGTTTTGGAGCAGGCAATTAATAAAAGCAGAGTGTCAATTTCAATTAGTGTAATATGATATATATATATATATATGGTTGTATTGTTTTTAGTATTGTGCTTCCCACATATGTCATTATTTCCATATAGTAATAAAAATAAAAAATAAAAAATAAAAATTCGTCTTTTCACGTTGGTTCACAAATGGACATTTAGTTTTACTATTCGTGTGCTGGGAAAGAAAGAGCTTCTTTTAGTTTTGAAGAAAATCAGACTGGTAAAATTGAAAGGTATGGTATGAATGCATAAACAATCAAATCCTTTTCAAAAGTATGGTATGAATGTGTCTCGAAACACTTGCCTTGATTGACCCGGCTGGAGGCGACTGACTTCAGCTTGTGTTTGGTCTTAATCTCAAATTTCAATTTATAAAATAATTAAGTGCTTTTAGAGTGGAAAATAACATTTTTACCCTTATATATATTTATTTATTTACTTTTCTTTATTTATTTTTTTTACATTTTTCTTCCAACAGAACGACAACTATAAAGCAGCTATTCCCAGGGTATTTTATACACCCTTCCATTTCTTCTTCCATATCAATTCCGATGGAATCCCGTAATTACTTAAATCTCAAGTTTCCAAGAGCAATGGCATAAGTTTCTTCTTAGTGTTTGTATAACATTTAAAAACTTAATGAATTAACTTATGACTTTTTGTGCATAATGAGCTTTGCGCTCACGGTGTAAAAGAAGTAAAAAATGTTTAGACGCTTTGTTTTTCTTTCTTTACAGCTTTTATATTATAGTCCAATTATCAGCATTAAAGGAATTAAGGATGGCCTAATTTGTCTTTACCCACTCTATTAGGAGCCGGTAAATATCATAAATACGGCTAAAAAACGTACCTCATATGCGGGTGATAATTTCACTACAATTCAACTAAAATTAAATCAAAAATCCTTATTTCTTTAATTATTTATTTGATGTAAATAAATATATTATATTGATTGAGGTGAATATTTATTTTTAGAATATTTTATTTGCATGTATGTTTAAAAAATCAACCCTCATTCTACTACAAATATTGAAATCCCACCCTGGTGTCGTGGTGTAGTTGGTTATCACGTCAGTCTAACACACTGAAGGTCTCATGTTCGAGTCCGGGCGACGCCATTTGTTTACTTTTTTTTACCATAAGAAATATATTTGGTGTATTTATTACACCAAAGCAATAGGTGTCGTGGTACAGTCGGTTATCACGACAGTTTAACACAGTCAAGGTCTTCGGTTCGAAATACGGCAACGCCAAGGTTTATATTGCCGCCTTGAAAAAGAAAATTTTTTCCTATTCCAATAATAAAGTTTTTTTTTTTTTTTTGTTAACTAAAAATTAAATTATCTTTCAACCGATTATATACAAAAAAAAAATTTGGTTATTTAAAAATTTGGCTGAAGATTTTTTAACAGATTTTGTAATTAAATTAAAAATTTCAAATAAAAAACCTTCTAAATCTTTTTAGGCTGTCTACTAAAAGATGTAAAAATAAACTACAACTATATTAACATTGTATCTCTCTATTTACTTGTTTTTCCTCTAAATTTTTCTTTAATTTTTACCTGGTGGTTTATATCTTTAAAACTCCCGACAATATTATGTAGATATATGCATCTATACTCTGTCTAGGATATTAGCCAATTTATTTTAAAATTATTTGAAAAATTACCCACATTTATCTTGTGATTTTTTTTTTTTTTTCTGGGCTTATTATAGACTTGCTGATATCTTGAGAAATTTTTTATAAAATTAAAAAAAAGAAAATAAGAATAAAACTTTAATTTACTAAGCTTGGACTCAAGATTTATTATATGAGCCTACTCCGTCAGAAGAGCCCAAATACAAGTCCATGAATCAACTTCTTCTCTCTCCCCTTTCCGCTCCACTTCGTTCCAGTTATCTTATATTTTCGCTTTCTCGTATCTCTCATGGTGATACGTGAAGCTCTTTTACCCCGGTGCTTTGCCTTGTCTTTTTTCTCTTCTCTTACGTAAAACCCTAACAACGTCTACCCAAACAACACAAACAAGAAAAGAGAATCAGAAGGTTATTTTGGTGTAATTTTAATTCGTTTTACATAACCTGCCGCCATTTTCGTTTCCTGGGAACAGAACAGGGTACGTTCCTCTAGATTTTACTAGTCTATAGTATTATTTTCACTTTTTTTTTTTTTTCATTTAATTTCGCTTTTTTCCTTCTCCTTTTCCCATTTCTATGTAATCGAGGTCAGCGATCGTGCTTGCGTTTTTTGCTCTGTTCTTAATTCTGATTTCTCTTGCGTTTCCGTTATGGTTTCACCATTTGATGAATGAGTAATAAAATTCTTCAGCTTTGTCTTCTTTGTTTGACGGGTTAGTTCAATCGGATGAATTTTGATTGCTTTCCATTTTTAGCGCTCATAACTTCTTTTGCTCTGTTGTTTGGAATGTGAAAACCAACACCTTTCTCCCAACTTCTTGTTTTAATCTGTAAACCATCCGATTATAAATATTTTACTCTTCTTAATTTGTGGTAGAGTTTCTTTAAATGGAAATTGGGTGTTTGTTTCGTTTGATAGGATTTATACACGCATGTCATACGTATTTTCTATATGAATATGGGAATGTAATGCGCATTACTTATTGATTTCTAAGTTTATCAGTTCCAATTCTTTGTACTGATAAACAGGATCTTCAACCCAGTTTTGAAGCTATAGTCGAGAATTATTAACAATGACGATCACTCAACTTAGTAGAAGAATAATGTCTGCTGGATTGACAAGTGAGACTTCTAAATGGAGAAAGGTTGAAGGTTTGGGAAGGTTGCATTCATCAGGGCAGAAAACTGAAGCTCCAAATTTTTATGCTGCTAACAGTAAGGGATTAGATTATGTAGATGGTGCATGCAATTGTACCTTGTCTGCAAAATATAGAAGCTCATTGTCACCGTTGGTGATTCACCACCGAAGTTACTACTCTAATGTGGTTCGGAGTCAGTTCACCCCCGATTGCAGTGTGGATTCTGCTGACTTCGAGGAGACATGGGCTTTAGGAGAAGATAATGACACAAGCAGTTTAATGGGGTAACCTTTGTTAGACTTTAGTTAATCTTGTTATTTTTCCATTCATATTCAGCTACACTGAATACATATTTGGTTATACTTGTAACACTTAAATGTTTTTTCATATTGGTAGTGAAACGAAGGAGAGAGTGGATGAATCAAAACCTTTGGATGTCAAGCAAGAGCTTGTACTGCTTTCTTTACCTGCAATTGCTGGACAGGCAATTGACCCCTTGGCACTGCTGATGGAAACAGCCTATATTGGTAGATTAGGTGTGGTTTAGTTGCTTCAATGGTTACCAATTGGTGCTTTGCAAGTATCTTTTTTGTTTAGATTTGGGAATTGGAATTAATTCTTAAACTTTTATGGACGTCATGTTTATCTCTTTCCGTCAGTTCATTGTTAACACTTCATCCTTTTTTGTTTGGTCAAGACTAGTGTTTTGTGATCCATCTAGTTTAGGTTGAAGGCATAATTGACTCTTTTTTTAGGCATTCGTTTATGTTGATTATAACATATTATGGAAAGATGTTGAATGTGATCAAAGCTTTGCCGATGGGCACCTTTAAGCTTTTGCTAAGCAAGAGTTACTTGTTATCTCTGTAGGCTCTGTGGAATTAGGTTCAGCTGGTGTTTCCATGTCAATTTTCAACATTATATCAAAGCTGTTTAATATTCCTCTTCTGAGTGTTGCTACCTCCTTTGTGGCTGAAGATCTGTCGAAGAATGCCAGTCAGGACTTGACATCAGGTGAAATCAAGCTGACAGTGTAACTCCTTACTCCTATATGTTCTTTTCAGGGATGCTCTTTTGTACCATCACCTTCAAATTTGATTGAATTGCTGCTGTACAGAAAGGGGTAGTCTAAATGAGAGTTCTGATGCTAAAGCTTCTGGTGGAGTAGCTGAAAGGAAGCAATTATCTTCGGTATCTACAGCTTTATTATTAGCAGTTGGAATCGGACTGTTCGAGGCCTTGGCATTGTCACTGGGATCTGGACTGTTTCTCAGATTAATGGGTTTGTCACAGATAAGTTCCATGTGAACAGAGTCTGTAAGATATAATGAAAAACTCTATGCATCTTTATCTGCATAATTCTGTCCTCTGTCAGTGCTGTATAATTGATAAATCATCTCTCTCACACTCGTTGAAGATATTGATTACTTTAGATGAATTTTATGTTGTGTTTAAATAAACAGGCATCGGAAATGTACATTCCAGCACAGCAATTTCTTTCACTGAGAGCTGTTGGCGCCCCAGCTTTTGTAGTGTCTTTGGCTCTTCAAGGCATTTTTCGTGGTTTCAAGGATACAAAAACTCCAGTTTTCTGCTTAGGCAAGTGTTTGATTTAGCTTTTGATAATAAACTTTTCATATTTTCCGTAGTTTGCTCCCAATATATACTATAACACTGGCCTGTTAGGTTGTTGCTGACATTTGTATACAGTGCTTGCTTTGAATATGTTGCAAAGTTCTTCTGTTTCATTTTGGCAAACTATTGTAACTCGGACTGGATGCGTGTGCGTGCGCTGTTAATTTACAAGCTTCAATAATTGGAGTATGATTGCACCTAAATGTTGTCTATTACTGAATATAGGATTCACGTAATGGGTATATGTGGTCATCATTCCTAACTAACAAGATTGGACCAAAAGAAAACTCATTTGTTATGATTACAACTAAATTTTCTCTATCACTGAATTGAGGATTCGGGTAGTGCATGTATGTGGATTTTCATTTCAAACTAACAAGAAATAGGAAAAAAGAAAACTCATTTGTTACCAAATTGAATTGTGTATTTATCATTTCAATATGTCTTTCATAATAATGCCTGTCTGGAAATCATTCAACAGCCAAACAATGAGTAACAAACTCTCAATCATGAGGCTCAGGTTGGTTGTTTAAATGAGACAGACTGGTGGTGCCTCAACCTTTTTATTAGGTACTTTTTAGGGGACTGATGGATGACATACTTGACAGTGTTTTAGAATTTACTTGTGACCCATTTTTGTTTTCTGCTTTCCTTAGTCTCTAATTAACCTTATGTTATTGGTTCATGTTTGATCATGATGACTCTTCTACATTTAAAAGAAATATGCATTTTATCATACATAAGTGAAATGTGTCTTAAGAACCAATATTAGTGATGTTGTCGTGGAGAAAAATGATTGCTGAAAGCATGAATGAAAATTGATGTTAAATAGTGCTTGACGTATGATTTTTATATCTGTTAGTTCATTGTCCAATATAATGCCTTTTATGTAATTGGTGCAGGTATTGGTAATTTGTTGGCTGCGTTCTTGTTCCCCTTGCTTATTTATCAGTTTCGCATGGGGGTAGCAGGAGCAGCCATCTCAACTGTTATCTCTCAGTATGTGGTTTATGTGCTTTAGTTTTTTGTGTTGCTTTTTACCAGAATATAGCTAAAAGATTGGACCATTTCCTGTCGGTCATCCAATCATTTGTTTAGGACTTTTTTAAATGGCTGTGACTTATATGCTCCAATGGTCTCCCAGATATATTGTTGCTTTTCTCATGATCTGGTATCTAAACGAGAGAGTTGTACTATTGCCTCCAAAAATGGGACAGTTGCAGTTTGGTAGCTATGTAAAATCAGGTAAATTTTTACTTTCCTGCTATTCTTATCCCAGTTTTTGGAAAACTAATCTTATTATGAGATCTTGTGATAGTCTTCTGGAAGCAAAAAGTGCTGTGCTGTCCATATTTGTATTTTTTTTTTCTTTTCACTTTTTGTCGAAGTCTTGGACATGCTTTTCTTACAAAGGGTCTTATAGGTGGCTTTGTTCTTGGAAGGACTCTTGCTGTGCTGATGACGATGACACTGGCGACCTCAATGGCAGCTCGCCAAGGTTCTGTAGCTATGGCTGCACATCAGATATGCATGCAAGTATGGCTGGCTGTATCTCTTCTTACAGATGCACTTGCTGCATCTGGTCAGGTAAAACAAAATTTGCTTGTAAAAAAAATTATATATTAAGTGGTCAACATCTTGCATGAAATACTCAGACTCTAGACATGAAAGGTGTCCCTGCTGAGTGTTTCCCTGCAGTTGATGATGAGAAATAAGCTTTCTGTGCAAGCTATGATCTTAGATTTCTCCAAAGAGGAAAGTAAATACCTGAAAATAATTACATGGCTTTTGGTCCAATCCGGTTTTATTTTCATTCAATTCTTAAGTTTTAGTTATTTAATATATAGAGTATCATTTACATATTTCATATATAACTTAATGAGTTTCCCTCGTCCTCAATTCTATAGTCATGAATTTGTATTCCCATATCTCTAAGTAAGGAATTAAAACTTGGAATTGAAATACTATTTTTGTTCAAATTTTATCCTATATGTATTATATTCTATTTCTATTATATAAAATTTGGATTTGAACCAAACTCAATACTAATGCTATTTTATGGACCCTTTCTGTCACTTCTGTAATAATGCTGATGTTAAATTTGCTGTTTTTTGCTTATAGTCAAACTCTTGAGTTCTTTTATTTTTATAGACCTTGATTGCAACTTCTGTATCTAAAGGCGACTTTAAGGGTGTAAAAGAAGTTACCAGTTTTGTTTTGAAGGTAAGCTTTTCTTTGATGCCTCACAGTTATGTTTTATGCCATGTGGTATTTAGACAGTATGTATCAGATGCTTTCGTTGTAGTTGAGGTTTTTAATTTATGTGTATTTCCAGATTGGATTGCTCACAGGCATTTCCTTGGCTGCAATTTTGGGATTATCTTTTAGTTCTTTGGCCACTTTATTCACCAAAGACGCTGCGGTGTTAGAAATTGTTAGTACTGGGGTATTGGTATGTATCCAAATCTATGGTAAAGCAACCTCTCTCTTTCGCTCTCTAGGAGGGGATTGGTAGTGGATGGTTTAAATCTCTAAAATAATCTGCTTTCCTGCTTATTTATTTATTATTTGTTTTCATTTGTTATAGTTTGTTGGTGCTACTCAACCTATTACTGCTTTAGCATTTATTTTTGACGGTCTCCACTATGGCATGTCTGACTTCCCATATGCAGCTCGCTCTATGGTAAGCTGCATTCTTGTGCTTGTAACTTCACAATGTCATTCTGTCAGGTATAAAGGTTTCAAGAACTTGTTTCTTCTAATATTTGTCATCTGATTTGTAGATGTTGGTGGGAGCAATATCTTCTTTTGTTTTGTTATATGCTCCATCTGTTCTTGGTCTTCGTGGGGTTTGGTTTGGCTTGGCTCTCTTTATGACATTGCGAATGGTGGCAGGATTTGTTAGGTAAATTGCAAAACTTTAAGACTAATATATACAGTTTTGCATAGTACTTTTACATATGCGTCTGTATGTAATAATTTATGCGATGTCTGTGCTAACCAAGGAACTTTTGCTTCTGAAAAAAATTGATTATGGTCAAAGTATATAAACAGTTCCATGAGAGTATATGCATATCTAAGAAGTGATTTTAAGAAGTGTTTTCTCGGTTCTAACTCTGGCAAGTGCTTTGTCACACGTGTCCTGTCCAAACTTTTTTTTCATCATTAAATCTTTTTAGGAATTTATAATATTTGCTAACAGTGGTAGTCTGCTTATTTTTGTGGTTTCTTCCTGTTCATCACTTATACCCTTATCTGATATTTGACTTGTACTTTTCAGACTATTGTCAACAAGGGGCCCATGGTGGTTTATGCATGGGGACATCCAGAGAGCCGAGGTTGGTGGATATGCGGAATTCTGTTGATCATTTAGAGAGCAAGTTTATTGGTCAGAATTTGACAATCCATGTATTATTTTGTTGGTGTTGATTATTAGACACTGCCATATAAGATATTAGTTCCACGAATAAGAAATAATTGTTATATTCGGTCATCTGAATAGATGCTGTCAAAATGGTTGTAAGTAATTCAGGACGCGCTCTATGAAACTTAGAATTATGAGTTCTTTTAGAGAATTATAATGAAGTTGAAAAACAAAAAGGGGAAAAAATTCTCCTTGATAGCAAAACAACTTCTCTTTTTCCCTTATTGTTTGTGTGATGTAACAGAGAGAACAGAATTGTACGTACTAGCCCTGTTGAGATTATAACTACACGAGGCAATTTGTGGTAAAAAAAGGAGTTAAAAGGTTGATTCAGGTTTTGATCTTGGAACCCTTCTCGTACTGATTTTGGCTCGATGATACCATCCTTGTGACTTAGTTTAGGGTTAAACATTTATTGTTTTACTAAATCAGTTTGCAATAAAGTAACAAGAACTGCTGATAGTTCTTCTCTTCTTCGCGGTATGATTATTTTGTATATCTTATTTACATTGTCATCTATTCTTTTTTTTTTTTTTTTTTTTTTTTCCTTTTGAGGTTAGATAATTACTCCTCTTAACTTCATCTAAACATCTATTAATATAACAAGGTGATTCTACGTCTCCCAGTCATATATCTTGTCAGATTGTATTTTACGGGTCTACAACTGGTTACCCAACTTCTTTTTCAGCTAACTCACGGAGACGGGAACAACGTGGAAGTGACTGGAGGACACCAGTCGCCATTGAAGAAGTCAGGGAGCTTTTCATGAGAATTTGCACCTTCGAGAAGATAGCTTTCTTAGCTGTAGGACATTCTACTTTCAATTGGTTGTAGCAAGTACATAAGAAACATACCTACAATAATTTGTTATTCATTGATTTCGAAATTAATTAATTATTTCCAAATCTTATGTGCATTTCAATACCGAAAGTAGATTATCTGATATTAGTTTTATGATTCTATAGCAGTAAATTCTTATGTTAGGGAATGATTGAAGCAATCATATATTGTATTTGTCTGTTGAGGCTTATAACTGATACAAACGTTCTGCTTACGGCTACTTGATGCCATGCTTTACAATGACTGCTTAAGGTTCGTATGGACAGAAAATTTAGATGCTTTGCTTGTTTTTATTTTCGGTAGAATATATTCATATGTATGTGTGTGTGTATATATATATATATATATTTAAAATTTAAAGGTTCAGAATATTTTTCAAGTTAATAAATCAATTATTTTTCGTTTACTTAAAGAGACTCTGTGAAAAACAAAAACATTTGTCTCCATACTCAGATATTTTCATTCTAGTAGTTCTTGGCATCTGCTTTTTCTTTTTTCCTTAATCTTAGCATGGAAGGTTGGATATTGCCCAAATGTAATCAATGCCATGGTGCCTGGTGACCCAACAGTCAACAAGAAGAAACCCACACGCAATGCAAACAAAATAAGTTTTCTTTTCATTTGCAATGCAGTCAGCATCTTATGATTACCTTCCTGCTGAAAAGCCTTGTTCTGCCCGGTTCAATCTTCTCCTTTTTGCTAAGTCGGGTTAATATCTGAGAACCCTCGCACCAAAAGAGCTTCTCGCCCAGAAATTATGGCCTTAAAAAAAAAAAGAGAAACCCAATAAAGAAATATGGAGACCCGTTGTGGGTGGGTTTATTCTTAAGCAATTTTATTGATAGTAGATTCAATTCTCTTCATTAAAACATAATTTGTTGTCTTCGAGCTACTGGGTAGGAATAGAAGGAAAGTTGATCCAAAGAAATTCTCGTAGATTGTCAGATTAAGAGGACACTAAGTAGTCCGTGGGACCATAAGGCTCAAACAAATCAGCAAAGAACCCTTTCTTCCTCTTTGGATTCCATCCCATATCCTTGCACAGTTGATCGTTATACCAAATATGAATAGCAGCTATGCAAGATCTTCTGTAGTATTTGCCGGAGTACCGTTTCCAGTGTTTGTCCCATTTCGCAACATCTTCTTCCATGTCTTTAATGCTGGGTAACTTGAACGTCCCACCAAGTAGCTCTGCCAGCCATTTGCTTCTTATTTCCGAGGTATACAGGTTTGAAACACTTTCTGAGTATCCAATCACTGCTAGTTGCGGAATTCGAGGATGTATACATTCCCTGATCAAATGGAAAGTTCAATTGAATTATTGACACTAATGATCCAAATTATTTTTTATGTTCTTGAAAAAAAAAAAAAGAATAGAAAGCGTGGGTTGGTAACCTGTAGAGAGGAACAGCTGCATTAGTGGACCCTAAAATGGAGTCCTGAAAGGTCTTTGACATAAAAATGTCCTTGAGCTTTTTATCACCACTGAACCCAGTAGCAAATATGACCAAATCTGTCTCAATAGGTTTGGTTTCACCATCAACCATAATTCCCTCTTTACAGAAACTAAAGCTTGGAGCTTTCTTTAATATGATGCTTCCCTCTTCAACTTTTTCATAGAAATTTTCAGGCACTGTTGATACTAAACATGTATTGATTTGATTAAAAAAACTGTGTTCTGGCACCATTCCAAACTTTTCCAACCGAAGCTTCCTTTTAATATGTGTTTCAACAAATTTTGAAAAAGCCCATCTCACGGGTGAAAGAATTGAAGCCAAGAGACTGAGCAAGAGGCCCTCACCAGGTTTGTGTAGCAAAAGCTCTGAGAACCGGGTTAAGTACAAATACGCTAAAGGTAAACCCCATGGAAGATAATCAGGGACGCCCCATTGTTCACTTCTGTATAGCACTGTGCATGGGTTTTGCTTCCCTGCGAATGGGTGGATTGAAGTTACACAAGTGATAAATAAGATGTTTTCTGTGAATCTATGGTAGGATATTACTGAGGGCAAGTTAAAAAGGTCTCATTTAATTTAGTTTTTATTTAATTTATAGTCAATTTCTACTTCTAATTTCTATATTATTTTTGAATATATAGTTGGTGAAAATAATAATTTACAGATTTCAAACATGTTTATAACTCTTTATTGTATTAAAAAAATTAAGTTACACGTAACTTATGAATATGATAATTGATATTTATTTTTTTGAGTTTTTTTTATTTACTTTATGTGCTAAACTTTATTATGGTTTATATATTTAGAATTTTAAAAATTATATTAATACTTATATATACCTATGCAGATAAATATTTATAGTAAATAAAAGACTTTTCTCATTTTCAATAAAAGATATTTTAGAATTACTTCTATTTTATAAAAATTTTCCCAATAAATACAATAAGACTTATAATTATGCACGTTGAAGTCTATAAAAATCAGAACCAAGAATCAAACGAGAAAAACCAAACACGCTGTCATTATATAAGTTTTTGACAAAAATTTAACAATCTATTGAGAGATTGATAGCTAAAATGAAATATCCGCTCCAATTTTTACCGAGTTATTGTGTGATTAACATGACGAGAAATTGTAGAAGGTGAAATTTGAACGTACCATTTACTGCTGCGACCTCCATTGCGATGTCCAGTGCAGATTTCTGGAAGCCAACAATGGCAACTCGCTTTCCTTCAACAAATTTACCAGCAGTTTCGTACTCCATCTTAGTGTAGTCTATGGAGTGTATCACCTTTCCATGAAACGTTTCTGGTCCCTTTCCAGGTGGGTATTCAGGAATATTCGGCACATCACTAAATCTCCCCACACACAGAATCACAAAATCCACTTTGTAAATCTGCAAATTTTTTCTTTTCTGGTCATGCTTTCCAGTCTTGAGAAGCTATTTGGAGACTTTCAGAAATAAGTTTCAATTAATTTTGGGGTTTTTACGTTAAAATAAGCTCTTGAATTGACATACGTAACTAGTTGGAAATATTTTTGCCAATGCTTGACCGTTGGAGACGTTCTTTGCACCTAACTTTCTCTTTAATTGTACATGAAATCGAAAGAATACGTTTTAGATTTTGTGATTAAAGTTAGTATCATTTTTTTTTTTTAATTGAATTCATCTCGTTTTTAAATTTATTTGAAGTTCATATAAGGGGATAAATTTATTTGAAGTTGCTTATTATGTGTACCTTTGTCTCATCAGCAACGCCATGGTTGTGCTCCACCACTACCTTCCATTTCCCTCCCGAGCCAAATCGCTCACCATTGCCACTCCATAAACTCCATTTTTCGATCTCTTCACTGCCAGAAGCTCCTTCATATTCAATTCCCACAACTCTTGAATTGAATTTGATGTGCTTGATTAAGTCAAAATGCTCCGCATAAGATTTAATGTAGTCAAGAACTTTATCGTGATCAGGAAAATCTTCCGGCACTGAACTCGGCCATGGAAAATCTGAAAATTGGTAAATAGATTTTGGGGTCTGGAGCTTCGTCGTCTGTATGGTCTTGATCCAGACTCCTCCAACGTCGGTTCGAGACTCAAAGACGATGGGTTGCAGACCCTTGGAGAGGACGTACTTGCAGGCGAGAAGGCCACTAAGACCAGCTCCAATAATGGCAATCTGTTTCTCCATTAATGGCGGTATGGGTTGTGGACTCGGGAGAGAATCTTGCTGTTGAATCTTGTCTTTTCTTTTTTTTTTTTTCCCTCAAATTACTAGTACCGTAGCATGAAGTGATTACTTGGTAACACTCCTCCACAAGCTTTTATAGCTTTAAATACGTACGAAGATTTGGAAAAAAAAAAAGGAGATATAAATATATATAAATACACATACATATATATATATATATATATATATATCAAATAGTTCATCCTATGTCAAATTTAGATAAGGATGGCAATGGGCCCTGAAACGACAATGGGTTTGAATTTGGGAACTATCAATATTATTTCACCTATATATAAATATAACTGTTTATATTAATAAAAATTCAAAATATAAATATTATTAATGTATTAATTATTTATATATCAATCAAAAATTAAAATATATATGGCAAGTAGATTTCATCAGGTGAGTTTTGCTCAGCAAATTCCGAAACCATCTTGTTCTAAACTTTTTTAATTTAAATTTTTGACAAACTCAAATCCTGATGCACTCTAAATAAGTTATTTAATGAAGAAAATGAGGCGCTTAAATACAACGTGTTCAAATTGAAATAACGAAAATAAATATATATGTTTTGTGTTGAAATAATATTTTTTGGGAAATGATATTCCACGTCTTAGTCAGAACGTAACATGTGAAAAATATCTAGATATGAAATTTTTTTTTGTGACAGCTACTTGAACGGAGAGGAAGGTAGGTAGTACAAATATTGGTCTCATCAAATTTAACTCTCTACCCTCACAACTTAAGATAACTTCCATGTAAATAATCAAAATATATAATAATTTCCTTCTTAACTATATATTTAATTTTATTTTATTTATATTTCTGTACATTATAAAAAAGAAATACTAAAAGCATCTATAGAACTACAACAGTAAATCTTGATGATTCTGAAACAGTACTCTTTTCAAATATCCCCGGTTGAATGATTGGGATCAGTCGTGTTGTTCTTCGTCAATGTCAAAAAATAGGCAGTTTGCGAGTCCCTTAAAAAAGACTTAAAAGTTTGCTGCGTTTTCCTATTTTATTTCTTGGGGAGATAGCATAAAATCTGTGCTGCTTATCTGAAGATGTTGAAAGTGGTTCCTGCAGCCCAAATGATTCTTGAAGTGTGCATGATTGATCATGTTATTTCTTCAATATTTATAAAACCAGGTGGGTTCCTGAAACGAAATACAACTCAAAAAGTATATTTTCATCAAATATAATCCTGGACGCGTGGGATTATAAACTGTGACCAAAACAAAAAAAAAAAAAAAAAAAAAACACAAATACAATTCAAATATGTCCATATCTCCCCTAAATCTGAGTGTGACAACATGCACAGACTCAGCCTCCAATAATTGAACTGTAAGACTTTTGTGAACATATTATCCTCAACTTACCTTCAGAAGGAATATACCAGAGTTCACTGGCAAGAACACCCCCTTGTACAAAATAGATCACTAATCACGCATGTTTTGGGAGATGCATATTGAATTGAAGGCCATACAGGTGTTCCCAACATTATTAGACCAAATAATGGGTGCACATGAATAGAACAGGATGGTCTTCATATTAAGATAAGTTAAGAATCCAAAAAAAAAAAAAAAAAAAAAGAAAAGAAAGAAAAGCAAGTGTAAAAGCTACGGCAGATACTCGACTTCAACACAGGAGCAAAATACAGTTGATTGTTCCTGACGGTTAACTTATAGGTATTTGGACATCCTGCACAATCAACATCCGGAATGCTTGAATAAAGTAGCAAATCATACTGCAGAGCAGAGCATAGCATGTGTGGCAAAGAATATGTTTCACAACCTGAAGATGATCATCTCTGGGAGAATGCTTAAACTGACAGACTTGGTTTACTGCAAAACAGATATCAGCTTCAGTGAAACTCAGGTTCTGGAGAGAACCAACTAGGCAGCAGTAAATTGTTTGATCATGAAGAGAGGAATAGGGTCATTAGACCATTTTCCCTGAAATTGAGAATGAGAATACATTCGTCTGCATATTTTGTTTGGTCTGGAAAAAAAAAAAATCATTTCTTATTTGGAGTGACCTGGATTCCCAAGAAGTTGTGGAGAGTAACATGTTCTTCATGTTAAATTGGGCTTTCAATTGATGTAGAAGATGCTGTAACAAAGATGAAGTAGTTTAGTAAGAAAATATTGTCCAAAAAATTGAGGAACCTGAACACTGAAGGTCTACAAAGCTTTAAGATAGAGCAAAGTGGGAAAGATACAAATAAAACTAAATAGAGTAAACTGAACTATTTTGGTTTGCTTAGTTTTGTTTATATGGTGAAGTGGTCTTCCTTGGTTTAAAATTTTCATAGACCAAATTTTGTGCTTTGCTTTGGGTGTAGAGTGCAAATTACACCAAATCAAACCACTCCATTTACACTCATAGCCATGACTTCTCAGTAATGGCTTCAACAACTCAACAACAAATTGGTAAACGGAATTGACCAAGGGCTGCAAGAATGTATGACAAAGATATATAGGATGACAAAGGAATTTACGATGTTGCAATCAAGAACGAGCCTGATTATGGAAAATTTATTTTATTTCCTTCCATGCATCGCGAGTATTTAGTGTTATTTGGGTTGAGAACAATATAATTCGGAGGACACAATTGCTTAAATTTAAGAGAGGACACATAGTTTTTTTTTTTTTTTTAGTGAAAATGTATGATTATACTATAAACACACTTTGTTTATCCCTCGTATGACTTCATATGCATGTTTGAGGTAAAACATTCATGGTTCTACTAGGTTCATACCACCTCTATTGTCATAGTACTGCCAATAATTGAAGAACCGGAGATTAAAAACCGTAGTCAAGCTCAGTTTATATCACACTCTCCAAGCACACTCTGCGAGCACATTTGAACACATTAATTGTTCCCAACAACCCCAAAACACATTGCATGAACACAAATACTAACTTAAAATGATGTGGTAAACATATACTAGTCACGTATTATATGCAAGATGATTCAAATTCTGAAAGTTCTCCATTTCACCCACCTTAGTTACTAGTACCAAAGGAACTTAGATTAAGCATTTTTTGACATGATATCTCTGCACTTAAGAGACTACTAATATGCAGTTTAAACGATTTAAGTCTGCACTTGCCCAAAAACACAACAAGAATGGAATAAAAATTTCCAACAAATGGAACTCACCTGAGTGAAACCCGACCTCGAATGCATTGAAAAAATTACCCGTGGAGCCAAAAACGCACTGGAGCTGCTAGTTAAGGAACAAGGCGTGGTTTTTCAAGCCTGCTGTAGCCATGATGAACACGACTATGATGGTTTTTCAAGCCAACTGTCGCAGAGTTGACCAAATTGGAAAAATTTGTGTCGGAAATATCACGGCGCCTCTGTCCCCGGAAATCGCTGCTCTGTCGGCAGACAGCAGCAAATCTCCGCCGAAGAAGGAAACTGGAGCGTCCTAAGCAAGGCATGACATCGGCCGGTCTAAAATTTGGTGGAATAAGCTGAAATTGGTGATGGCAGCGAGGCACGGTGGAACTACAGTGTGACTTTTTGCGCGTGCTATGCGGGTGGCAAGCCCCTCGGTTTGCTTGAGGTGGGAACTCCGTGGCAGATGACTTCCACTCCCGACGAAAGGAAACGCGGTGAGTATATATTAAAAAATATGTGGAATTTTTAATTTGTTCTACTTATTCAGTTTTATGCAAATAAATTATAAATAGCGTATTAAAGAAAAATAGCCATAAAATTTGAAATATTTGTTTTAATTTTTAAAGAATTCAAGATAATCCTATAACAATCAAATAATGAAATTTATTTATTTCATAAAGACATAATTTGAGGTATACTTGCGAAACAAAGGGGAATCTGGATGAACAAAAGCTTTCTTTACCTGCGAAATTGCTGGACGGGCGATTGACCCCTTGCCACTGCTGATGGAAACAGCCTATATTGGTGGTTTAGTTTCTTCAATGGTTACCAATTGGTGCTTTGCAAGTTTTTTTTTTTTTTTTTGTTTAGATTTGGGAATTGTGATTAATTCTTAAACTTATATAGATGTTATATTTATCTCTTTGCTATTGATTCATTGTTAAAACTTCATCCTTTTTTGTTTAGTCAGAACTAGTGTTAATGCAATCCATCTACTTGGGTTTGAAGTCATAATCTGACTTTAGTTTTTAGGCATTTGTTCATGTTGATTAGGAGATATTACAGAAGGATGTTGAATTTGGTTAAAGGTTTTTTTGCCTTTAAGAAGCTAAATAGAAGCTATCATTCCACCAACTTTTCCTCCTTTCTTTGCTCTCTATTTTTCTTTAACTTTCTCAAACTTTTCACTCAATTTTCTTTTTTTTTTTTTTTTCCGCATATACAGAATGAATTTATAATTATTTATTTAACTCTTTGAAAAGTTATTTATAAATTCAAAATTTTAGTTCATTTATATTTTGAACAGAACTAATTTATTAATTTTTTCATTTTATATAATATTAATAAAAAAATATTAAGAAAAAATGATAAAAGTTAATTAGAAGTTTTAAAAAAATATCATGATCGAATCTCATTAATTAGTTTCATTGATATTTTTGAAACTGTAAATGTTATCTAACATATGATCATATAATTCTATGAAATTAT